TAATGTACCAGGCACTGAATAACTGCACAAATTAATAAGCATAATGCAAATAAACCTATTTTTCTTGTTCTCCGAAAGCAAAGTATTTCCTGTTGCACACACCAAACAAGTCAGTCCAAGACTAATGACATGGCAATCGGCTGGTAAAATATTCGCTGCTAGTGTTAGTGGAGAGAAATGTTGCACGGGCTTGAAAAGGAAATGAATGCAACATGATTATAGTAATCGGTCATTAGCGAACATTGGAGTTTGTTATTAATAATTATGTAAAACAGGATAGTATAAAAATTAAGTTACGAAATTCTTATTAAAACGTTCCTTACATACCGTTATATTGGCTGGGCCGCAAAAATATTGGTTGTGGGCTGCATGCAGCCCGTGGGCCATGAGTTTGACATGCTTGCTTTAGAGACTACTTCACAGAGAAAAAGAAGCAACTTCGTAAGAAGTGCCAAAAATGTGGGAATAATACCAATTACATCAAGTGAACAAAAATCAACAATTCTAATTCTAATTGTAACTTCAAACTAACCAGGTAGCCACATTAAGAAACAAAAGTACTCCCACCCCTAGCAGGTTTGGCTCAGTGGATAGAGCATCGGTCCATGGACTGAAGGGTCCCAGGTTGGATTCTGGTCAAGGGCAACCAGGTCAATTGAAGGCTCAATCCCCAGCCCTGGTTAGGGTGCGTAGGGGAGGCAACCAATGGATCCAATGCATGTGTCTCTCTCACATCTATGTTTCTCTCTGTCTCTCCCTCTCTCTCTAAAAAAGAAAAAAGAAATCAATGGAAAAATATCGTCAGGTGAGGATTGACAGCAAAAAAAGTGCTCCCAAGCTAGTAGGATGGGCAGTGGGAACAAAGGAGGAACACACCATTTTCAGACTTCTTTTTAAAAAGTATTTAGGAAAAAGAGATATTTACTCACACACCATTACACCTATTTTCATAATATCTAAAAATTGATGTGGAAATTCCAAATCTGAGAATATTGTTTGAGATAAGATCTGCAGTCATTCTAGGCATCTGCTTGTAAAAATCACTGAGAATATTACAGTAGAGGGTAAGAAGCAATCATGGTAGATGACACAGGAAGATCAGTTACGCTCTAGAAACCTTTAACGGAACAGGGAAACGTTAGTTTGGGGCCCACCACCTGCTGGCAGACACAGCCAGCCCAGATCACATCTCTAACCCCCATCTAACCAACATGTGGGATGCCTGATAAAGCCACAGCACCAGGCAAACAAAATGCTAACACCAGTCTGTGCAAAGTGCTAGTGGACCTTGAAAAAAAATCAGAAATCTGTGAAGAAAAGGAAAAGATTCTTTTTAGTCCACTAAAAAAAGGAGAAGAAGACTGCATTTCTGAAAGAAAAAAAGAAGGTACTACAAGGACAGGAGAAAGTTGGAAAACAATAGTGCTAGTACAGATCTAGAACACAGTGCAAACAAAAATGATTATAACTTCTGAATATAGGTAAAACAACACTTTGTTTGCCATGGAATGTTCCACAAACACGTTATCCACATGGGCTAATGAAACCCTTTGCTTCAAGTGTCTAGGGTTTTTCAGAAGGAACAAGAAGTCATTGTATATTGATTTGTAACCAGGGAAGAAATGAATAAGAAAAATTCCAAAAAATAACTACTAACACTACACTAAACACTTTTTCTAAAGATAAGATTAAAAAAACAATTCCTGCTAGCAAAGGGAAAGAAGTATTAATAAATTCAGTCAATAACCCTGAAACGGATGTTTGCTTCAAACACTTTATTTCCTCTTCCTCCACTCTCCCGAAGCAAGTTCAGATAGTCATCTTTCCTATCCTAGAGGGAATGATACTGTTCAAGTTACCAATCGCTACTATGAGAATGAGTAAGTTCCATGAGCAAGGCCCGTGCTAAGTGCTCTCTATATACACTATCTCTTTTAATCCTCACCGTGACTATATGTGTTCTTTCTCTTTCCATTCTACAGATGAGGAAAAACCTAGGTTTAGGACACACAACTAGCAAATGGTATAAAGCGGGGGTCAAGTTAGACCTGACTCCATAGTCAGTGCTTGTAACTATAAACTGAAGCAGCGTTTTTCTTAGTATTCTTTTATCGAAAGACTAAAGTTCACATGCAGTTTGGAATAAATGAGCAGAAAGGGAGCACAGGAAGTGGTGTAGAAGTACTTTTTAATTTATCAAGATAAGAGCACCTGCATTGCTTTTTTAAGACGAGAAAAAAAAACAACCAGTCTGCAATCATATAAAACCCCCAGCTCCTTTCTGGCCCTGTTATTACTAAAATGGGCCAGTTTTGCTTGAACAAGACGGTCAAGCAGCACCTACAGACCACTGCAAATAAATCACTTTGGTTCGGTGGTGGGGAGGGCATTATGCAACACTTCCCAGCACAGCCTTCACCAGGATATTTTACGGCCAAGGCACTTGGGCCCCTCCTCCCCAGAGCTAGACAGCCTGGCTCCCTCATATTCCCCTCAGGAGATAGGGTGGAAGCACACAGCTCCACTTTCTACGGCACAGAGGGCAGCTGAAAGTCCTGCTCAGCCTCTCTGGGCAACCACAGGCGCCAATAAATCAGCCACAGGCGATTTCTCTCATCCCCTTCCTGGCTTGAAGTGGTAGTGAGATATCGTCTGTGCAAAAGAGCACAGACTAGATTGGGGAGATAAGTGATCTAGGCTTGAATTCTACTGCAAATGGCTGTATCACTGAAGCCAAGTAAATCCCTGAGCCTATTTCCTGGTTTGTTTGAAAAATGGAGACAATACTACCTCCTTTTGGTAAGTATAAGAAATTCATCTATGAAAGCAGCTAGCCACTGCAGGTACTTAATAAAAAGCAACCCAACCTGAGCAGGATCCATCTCCACTACCTCCACATAAAACATTCAGGGCAGGGCAGGGCTGGGCAAAAAGGTGTAGCAAGTCTGGTGAGGTCCCTCCCTCCCTTTTTGCTGACCATGCCTGTGATGTTTCACTGCTTCCTAATAACCTCCCAGCCACAGGACTCATCTATTCTATGTCCCACCCATCATTGTTTTGGTCCCTATTAAAGAGCTGATTCTGATAATGGATTAACAGTTTATTCTTAATTAAAACATAACAGATTGCTAAAGTGGACTTTGGTGCCTTAACCTTATGGAAGCAAACAGCGCTGCAAATGTTGGTTATTCTTGCAGTTTCAAAGTACATTACAGCCATTCTATTTCCCCTAGAAATAGTGCCAGTCCCGTTTCTTAAAAATACCAAAGCCATCACACACTGGCCAAATCTGATTTCTCAAGACTCTGGATCAAGCCAAGTATAATCACCTCTGACAGACAGTCTCTATGAGTGGATTACACTGGCACTGCACTCCTGGTGTGGCAGAGAGAACAATGCCCAAGGTGTCCGGAGCCCTCGCGTCCACTTACTCAAGAGGTGCAGGACCTCAATCAAGCGGCACGCTTGCCCTTTAGGCCGGTGTCCTCATCTGTAAAACAAGGGGGATGCACTGGATTGTTCTGTACCGCCCCTTTCAGCTAAAAAATCTGTGATTGCAAAGTGTACTCTACACACTTGGCAAAATCCTGTGAGAAGGAACAGCTTTACCGAAAAGACTTGATATCATCTCAAGAGAATGCATGCCCGATGTAATCCCTTGGGGAGAACCAGGCGTTAATTTAGGAAACAAGTTAGCTGCTGTCAAGGTCCAGGTGCGGTCCAGGGGCTGCTTGAGCAGCTTGTTTTCTCCCAATGAGCGCGAGCCAGGGGAGGAAAGTGATACATGGGGCAAGCTTTAAAAAGATAACCTGGATGTGCTCAGAATGAGATTAATATGAAAAAAGAAAGAAATGAATCATGAGTCGGGAGGGGTACTTCCTGCTCGAGAAACAAAGTAATCACAAAGGAGGTGGGGGAGAGGGAAGACACTGGCCGCTCGCAGGCTGCACCTGGAAACGCGCCCACTCGCGAGAGAGGTCGGGCTGCTCGCGCGGATTCGCAGCCCGGTCTGCAGCGGGCGCCCTCGCGCGC